GGGAGGGAGGCCCTGGAGGTGTGTGTCTGGAGGAAAAAAAACAACAACAACAACAACAACAACAAAAAAAGTGAAGAGAGTGAAACTAATGGTATTGACAGTGCAGTGGATAGTGAGGCAGAGGGTTGGAGAAAGAGGAAGAAAATCTTCAGCGGGAGTCAGGGCCAGGATGGAAAGGAGAGGAAGAGAGATGAAGGAATGGCAGGCAAAGAAGGCTGCCTGTGTTGTGGCCTGAATCCTAGCAGGGACAGGCTTTGATAAGGTGTTTTAAGTGTGACTAGGCTGGCCACTTCGAATAGGAATATCCGGAGTGGAAGAAGGAGGAAAGAAGGAAAATGGGATGAAATATGGTATACTGATATGTTGTTTCAGTATCTTGGAAAGAAAAGGTATGGAATTAAGTTGGACCCTGACTGAGCCTTTGGTGCTGGTATTGGAAAAGTACAGGCTGGAGAAAGATAAAGGAAGTGTTAAAAGGGTTGCTGAAGGTGTTAAAGGTGTGGTATGTAGCATTTGACAGAGCTGTTTGAAGTTGCATGAGCAGGGAAAGGGGATGTAGGCATTGTCTAAATAACAGTCCAGAAGTTTTGGTATATGTGCTGTTGTGTTTGGTCAGTTTCCCAAGTATCGGGAAGGGGAGGGACAGGGGGACAGCCTGCTCCACCAGGAGCCACAGGCTGCAGGGGGGTTTCGGCTCCAGCACCTGGAGCGCCTCCTCCCTCTCCTTCTGCGCTGACCTTGATGTCTGCTTGCTCTCCCAGCTTTTGTTGAGCAGCAGGTTTTTGTTTGTTTCTTTGTTTATTTGTTTTCGTGGATATGCTCTCACAGAGGCACGGACTGTGTTGCTCATGGCTTGGCTCTGGGCAGCAGTGGGTCCCTTTGGGGGCAGATGAAATTGTCCCTTATCTGCCACTGGGAGGCTTCTGGGTTTTTCTCACAGGGGCTGCCACTGCAGTTTCCCACCCCCACACCCCTCACACCCCCCGAACCCTGCCATCAAACCCAATACACTGGGGCAGCTAGGTCATTACTGGCTTGTAAAGTATCAGGGATTCATGTGATGGGGGTAGAAGGGGCTGGGATAACAGTGCTGCTTTTGGGGGATACCAAGCTGAGACTAGGGGATAAAATGATCACTGAGTAATTATGGTATGTACCCAAGGCAGGGACTAACTTGTTGGGAAGGGATTTGATGATTAAATTGGGCATTCAAATAGTAAATTGTTAGACTGGAATAACAGCGTTATTAATGGAGTGCTCTTAGGCCCTGAGAGCAAACGTATATTCACCTCTTACTGGAAAGACCCTGAAATGGGGGCGGAAGCAACAATATAGGTGGACAATTTTACCTCAGGGGTTTACAGGGCCACCTATCTATTTGGGTAAGTTCTAAAAAAAAGATTTTGGAGCAATTACAACCTCCCAAGGATGTATTAATGTTACAAATATGTGGATCATTTTCTATTGTCAGGACAGGAGAAAAGAGTTGTGAAGAAAGCTACTAACAAGCTATTCAACTTTTTGGGAAAGCAGGGCTTGGGAGTATTGAAAAATAAATTACAATATGGAGAAAAAGAAGTCAGGTATTTAAGTCATCTAATGTCTGAAGGAAAACAAAGAATAAATGCAGAGAGGATTCAGGGAATTGTTGAAAATTAAGAAAGAACTAAAAAGATTTAAAAGAAAGATTTTTTTTAAGGAATCAAGAGCCATGAAGTCTGAAGGAAAATGGATACTCCCTGATGGGACAGAAATGCTGAATAAAGTGATAATGAGGCAAATATTAACTGTTTTACATCAAAAGAGTCATTGGGAGGTGCAAGCAATGTGTGATGTTGTGCTAAGAAAGTATGTCTGTGTAGGAATATGCACTTTAGGGAAGCACATATGCAGAGGATGTACCATATGTCAAAAGGTAAATAAAAGGTCTTCTGTAACCCATCTAGAGAAGGACGGGAGCCAGGGATTTGACCTTTCCAAAGTATACAGGTAGACTTTACTGAGTTACTTGTTTGTCCTAATTGACCATGTGACTGGATGGGTGTAAAGCTTTACTGCAAGGGTTAAAGCAGGCCTTATTGATTGAGTGGGATTTTCACAGCCCCTGGCACCCCTCCTCTTCTGGGAAGGTGGAGCGAATGAATCAGACATTAAAGAAGCAATTAACTAAACTAGTGTTAGAAACCCAACTTCCTTGGGTAAAATGCTTACTCCTACAGGTTTAAACAGCACCAAGAAAGGATATAGGAATTTCACCATATGAGATGCTGTTCAGATTGCCCTATCTGGGCAGAAGGGATTCTGCCCACCATTGCAATCGCGAATAAATTCACTGAGATCCTCGCCTGAGCCTAAGTTATTGGCTACAGAGTGTTTCTCACACCAGCAGAGAGTCACAAAGATGATCCAGGTTTTGAAGCATCTTCCTTATGAGGAAAGACTAAGAGACCTGGGTCTGTTCAGCCTGGAGAAAAGAAGACCGAGGGGGATCTTATCAATGTCTGTAAATACATGCAGTGTGGGAATCAAAGGGATATGGCCAACCTGTTTTCAGTGGTTTTTGGGGACAGGACAAGGACCAGTGGCCACAAAACGGAGCATGGGAAGTTCTGCACCGATATGAGAAAGACCTTCTTTCACAGTGGGGTGACGGAGCACTGGAACAGGCTGCCCATGGAGGTTGTGGAGCCTTTCTCTGGAGATATTCAAGACCCATCTGGACGCCTACCTGTGCAACCTGCTCTAGGGAACCTGCTTTGGTAGGGGGTTGGAGACCTGATGACCTCTGCAGGTCCCTTTCAACCCCTACAATTCTGTGATTCTCACAAGTGTACTAGAAGTAGATACATATATACCTGCTCACCCATGAACACACAGTGTGGGAGGCAATCAACAGAGTGCGCATCAAAGGAGATGTGGACATGTGAGCTGGACATGTCCAGACCTGCCCATGGGGAGAAGGACCCAAGGGCTCCTGGTGTCTCACCTTACAGGCTTCCAAATGCAGCAGGTTTGTGTCCTACCTCCTCTCCACTAACTACAAAAGGATGCTGGGTAGCAGGCTTAGATATGGCTGTGGGATGTCTGTAAGGCAGATCCAACTGATTTTGCCTCATTCCTTCCACACATTCATGCTTTCATGACTCTTGCACATGCAGAAGTGTGCCTCTCCCTCTCATCCACATGCCACATGTTCTACAGACACAATCCTACAGGCACAGATTGTGGGTTGCACAAACACGGATGAGGGCCTCATACATGGAGCTGTACACAAACACAGTGGTGCACACTGCAGCAAGTCTGGTACACAACACACACACACAAACGGGACTCACCCATGCAGTGACATACGGCATGCTTACACACACACAGGCATACAGATGTGGTTGGGTCTCATATGATTATTTCGTAAACACACACACAGGTCAGACTTATGTATAAGTGATTTTTGCACATTCCGGGTGAACCACATACACAAACACACAAAGCTCAGCCTAAGAGTTACATAAACGCCAGTCAGTAACAGTCAGCAACAGTCTCTCGCACACAGGTGTAACAGCAAAAGTGTATGTCTTCATGCAAGGCTAAGTTTTGCACACATAGCTGTGGGATTCTCATACATGAAAGCGTGTCCCGTAAACACAACACACAACAATAGTACAATCACTCAGGTATGCATATCTTGTGTCTCAGGTACACCCCCACACACAAGGAGATCTCATGTATGATACAGGCATCTCACACAAGCCCATCTCTCCCCTCCCCCCCCAAAGCACGTGGGCAGGCAGCACACCCTTCACTAGGTTGCACATACCTGTTTGCATAGTCTTCATATACACATCCCTGTCAGTGTCCATACATGTAGAGGCATGTGTGCATTATGTATGTGTGAGTCACATGTAATACAATGAGTCAGGTGTGCATTTCTGCACAGAGCCACACACACAGGTTCATACACACCTGGGTGCACAAAGACATCGTCTTACACATGAGAGGCACAGATGTGCTGCAGAGTGAGCCTGGCATACCCACCCAGAGCAGGTTGTGCACAAGGAATGGGTGATCATAACCAAAATACAGACACGTGGTGGTGTTTCACATACAGACACATAATACAGGAGCGTCACACATATGGGGGTGTCACCCATATGGTGTACCTCACTTCATGTACATATAGAAGTGTCCCACACATGGGATTCATGCACAATGGGCATCAGAAGCACACACAAAGTGAGTTGTGCACTCAGCTGAGTTGCACAGACACACCAACACTTGGGAATGTATGTCACACACACTTGTACATTTCATATATCCTTGGGTGTCACATGGCATCCCTGGCAAGATGGAAGTCACACATGGATGGTGTCTCCCACACATGCATGGCCTCTCTCCCAGGTGTCACATACATCTCTCAGACAGTGTCTGTCATATATGGATATCACATTTCTAATGCATGTAGTATCTTGCACACACACACAGGGTCTCTCCTAGAGACAGGGTCACACACACAGTGTCTCTTACAGACGCGCTCGGCGTCACAGGGTCCCAGACACCCACGCGGTGTTTCTGACTGACACACACACACGGCATCTGTCACGCGGTCTCTCACCCACGGTGTCCCGCTGGCACTCGCGTCACGCGGAGTGGGTTGCGCTCCCTGGGGCCCTCTCCTCCTTCTCCTCCCCCGTCCCCTTTCCCCTCCTCCGCCTCTTCCCTCCCCCTTCTCTCCACCTCATCCCGCTCTCCTCTCCCTTCCCCCTTTTAGCCTCCTCCTCCCCCTTTCGCCCCTCTCCTCCCCCCCCTCCCCCCCCCCCGCCCTCCCCCTCCGCGTCCTGCAAGCCGGTAGCGCCCGGGGGCGTCCAGCACCGTGGCTGCCCCAACCTCGCCCGCGCTCGGCGGCCGCCTCGCCCTGGGAGCGGAACGGGGCGGGCGAGGGGCGCGGCCAGCGCGGGCCCTCCCTCAGCCCTGCGCGCCGTGGGGCGGGCGGCGGCGTCCCGGGCGGGCGCTGAGTGGCAGCCGGGGCCGGGGCCGGGGCCGGGGCCGGGGCCGCGCGGCGGGCGGCGGACTGCGGGCTGCGGGCTGCAGCGGGACGCGGCCGCCTGCCTGGCAGTATGTCGGGGTCGCGCTGCCAGACGCTGTACCCCTTCTCCGGGGAGCGGCACCGGCAAGGGCTCCGCTTCGCCGCGGGGGAGCTGATCACGGTGCTGCAGGTGCCGGACGGCGGCTGGTGGGAAGGGCAGAAGGAGGACGGGCTGCGCGGCTGGTTCCCGGCCAGCTACGTGCAGCTCCTGGAGGTAGGAGCAGGGCCGCGAGCTGCGCCGAGAGGGCGGCGGCGGCGGGGGGGGGGGCGCGAGCAGAGGAGGGGGGTGTGCCGGCGGCCGGGCGGGAGCCGTTCGGCGGGCAGGGCCGGGCCGGGCGGTCCGGGGCCGGGAGCGGTCCTGCGGCGGTGCCATCGCCGCTCCGCACTCTGCGCGCCGGGCACTGCCCGGGGCTGAGCCGCTGGGAGGCAGCGAGGGCGCCCCGAACGCCAGCTCGGCTCACAGGAGAGTGCCAGCAGTGCACGGGGACAGACGCACAGCAGCACACCGGCGCTTTCGTCGGGGACCCACCTCGGCATCAGCCCTGTGCCCAGGGAAGGAAAAGTGCCCTGGCCACCCAAGAGCAGAGTGTGCCTTTGGTACCCGCAGTTGTAGCCGCAGAGTGGCAGAGTTCAGGCTGAACGTTGAGCTGCAGGCTCTTCTGGACACTTCATTCACAATTGCTAAACAGCAGCAGAATTCAGTGGTAGAGGTGATGCAGCTCCTGTCAGTCATGCAGGGTGGACCAAATGCTGAGCAAGTTGCTCTTCCCCCTCCCTCTCCTCCTCCCTCTCCTTTTTATGTCCTTCCCCTAAACATATCTTGGGTTTATGGTGTGGAAGATTCAGATGTGTCCCTTCTGTTGCCACAGCTCCGCAGTTGGCTGGCAATACCTTGCTGTCAATATGTGTGGCATTGCCTCAGAGATCCTCACTCAAAAGTCATGATCTTTCCATCAGGATGCTGAGCAGCTCATTTACTGTCTGTGCTCTTCAGGGCCATGATGTCTAGGGCACCAGCTGTATTCCCACAGAACTGCTTGCTTCTGATTTTGTTTATTGCTTTATTTCCTTTGGAAACAAGACACAATTTGGGTGTAAAATACACATCCACAAAGAGTGCCTTCACAGTCTTGCATTTCTGAAAGCGAATTTTGAAACAACTTGTACCAAAGCAAGAATCTGCTATGAGCCCATCAGCCCTTCCCTTGATGACCATGCCTTGGTTGCCCAGGGAAGTGGTTGAGTCACCATCCCTGGAGGTCTTCAAAAGATGTTTAGATGTAGAGCTGAGTGATATGGTTTAGTGGAGACTGGTTAGTGTTAGGTCAGAGGTTGGACTTGGTGATCTTGGAGGTCTCTTGAAACCCAGATGATTCTGTGTGGTGTAATTTGGAACTTAACCTAGGATGTGAGTATGAGTTCCTGCAATGACAGTGCTGATGTGGTTAGCAGTGCAGGGCTTTGCAAGTCAGCCTCTGTCTTCCAGATTTCTAAGGAGAAATATATAATTTGCAGGATAGCCTGCTTTGCTTATATGCAAGGAAGACACTATCTGTCCAAGGCTTTTCATGCTCACCCTCTGGGAAATCCAGAGTGGCAGGACACAGCCCTCAGCAGAACCAGGCCCACCGAGGTGCATGTTTTGCGAGCAGAAGGTTCTTTGTGGTAGGACAATATTTTGCCTGCAAATTTGCAATTGCCTTTCAGGTTCTCTGGTCCCAAATGAATAAAATATCCCTGGTATTTCAATGAAGTTTCTGTTTCTCATTCTTACCTGGAAAGACAGAAAAGGGGATGCAAAATTTCCACTCTCAATGCTGGAAGAGTGAGGCCAGAGACTATTCAGTGCCACTGAAGCATTTGGGATTTTTTTTTGCTATAGTTTAGGAGTGTGGGAGTCCTTTTGTCAGTTTTGCCACCTACAAGATCATTTACTGAGATATGTGAATGTTAGTGGTCTTTTACATTGCCAAATATTTACACATCTAACCAGGAATTTAGACATTGTTTGAGGCAAAGTGAGATGAGACAAACTTTGCTCAACAAAAGCAGTGGGAAGTCATACACAATGATTGGTTTTATATCACCTCCCTCTTTCAAACTCCTCTCTTCCCACTTAATTCTGAGTGTGTTATGTGCTCAGTGGTGCTTAGAGCCCCCAGTTGTGCCTTTCTGACCCTAGGTTCATGTATGGCTGAAAACTTTGTTACTGCCTGATGGTCCATGCAGCCCAGACTCCTGTCTCTTGAATAAACCTTCAGAAGGAAGATAAGAAGGACAACAAGTGCTGAGAGGTGTTTACTCTGGCATGTTTTCTTTTCCTCCAGAGGTTGTTCCTAATAAGATCTATGAACCAGTGTTAATATGTAAAGAATTCATAGAATCATAGAATCATTAGGGTTGGAAAAGACCTCCAAGATCACATGGTCCAACCTTCCCCCTACCACCAATATCACCAACTAAACCATGGCCCTAAGCACCACATCCAACCTTTCCTTGAATACCCCCAGGGACAGTGACACCACCACTTCCCTGGGCAACCCGTTCCAATGCCTGACAACTCTTTCTGAGAAGAAATGTCACCTAATTTCCAATGTAAACCTCCCCTGGCGCAACTTGAGGCCATTCCCTCTAGTTCTGTTACCAGTTATCTATGAGAAGATAACTACCTTTCAGGTAGTTGTAGAGAGCAATAAGGTCTCCCCTGAGCCTCCTCTTCTGCAGACTAAACAACCCCAGTTCCCTCAGCTGCTCCTCACAGGACTTGTGTTCAAGGCCCTTCACCAGCTTCGTAGCCTTTCTCTGGACACGTTCCACAGCCCCAATGTCCTTCTTGTACTGAGGGGCAAGAGCTAATTAACTAAATTTATGGGACCACAGGTAGCTAGCACCCATCGCAGTTAAGTGGATGTGTGAGAATGAAAAAGATCTGTTAGTGTGTCTCTCTCATGGCTCTGTGCAAGTAGCCTTTCCCTGGTGTTTAGGTGCATGGTTAGCTTGCTCAGGGACCTGATCTAACTGAAATCCTCTGATCCAATATGCCACTCAACCACACAGACACTGGAACTGGCACCAGGGAGGTGAGGAAAACACACAGCTGGATGGAGCCATGAACATGATTCTCCTTTCAGTACCAACCTGCACTCATGTTGTCTTTGAGTGCTCCAGCCCTGCAGCTTTTGGTAAGGTTCAGCACTATGTTGTGAGGTAAATTGTTTAGCTACACACTTCTGTTGAAAGAGGAAGAAACAATCTTCTCTTGGCTCTGCCCTCATTTCCCCATTCCTTGTTGTTCACTCTAGTGGGTACCTCTCTTTGTAGACCCATAACTCATTACCCTTAAGGACAACAGGCTGAGTATTCTTTCACAGCACAAACACGGCTCGTGGCATTGTCCAAGGTGTGCCAGGGATGGCAGGGTTTGCCCTGTATGGCACATACTGCTTCTCCTTGCAGCAAAGTCTGTCAGGTGGCTGGCTGCTACCCAAAGGGGATGTTCTTTTTCTGAAGCCTTTGTAACTTTAAGGTTGTCACTGTACACAGATGGGTGGGCTGGATTTTCTTATTCACACTACTTCACATTTACCAACAGGGAAATTTCCCTTAAAGTTTGCTGTTTGTTTTGTTCCTGAGCTGAAAGAGGAAAGTGAGAAAGGAATGAAGGACAGCAGCTGAAAGGGGAGTTTCTTCTAGCATTGAGTGGTTAGTTTAGCATCCAGACTGCAGCATGCAGGTTCATTCTGGACAAATGAGGACTAAGGACTGTTCCCAGTGTTAACTCTGACTTGGGAGGAACTGTACTGCACCAGCAGCACCTGTCTTTTCTTAGGCAGCAGAGCTGTGAAGCTGCCAGTGTTGATCACAAGGAGTATCTGCATGCTTCTGCATTGCTCTGGCCATCTTACCCAGGATTTGAGGATAGGTCATGCACCTCCTCTTTGTATGCTTACTCACACTGAATGGTAGCACTAGACTCTTGCAATGAAAAATGGGTATCTGTGCCTGGTTGTTAACCAGGACTGGTTTTAATGGCAAATGTGGAGTTGGACAGCTCTGAGAAAACCATGAAGGTGGCCTGTGGGAAACAAACTCCAGTGCTAGAGATGGACATTCCTGAGGAATGCCTTTGACTCATGGGTTCTCCTAATGGCAAAAATGTATTTTCAATTCATTCGTCACAGGAGATCAAGGAAAGGACCAAAACTGTAGTAAATGTAGCACAAGAGAGGCAAAGGGAGGTCAAGAGGTTTGGCAGTCTTCGGTGCCTATTACCATGGTCGCTGCATGCCCGCAGTGGTGGATTAGAGGGAAGTGATGTCCGGGAGGTCCCTGTTATGGCAATGATAGAACCAATGAGAGCTGGAGGATGGGTGGAATGTGTGCAGGGAATAATTAGGAAAAAAGATGTCTATAATCTCTGGAGAGGATACAGATGTAATAGATCAAAAGATGCTCCAATGACAGATGGAAGCAATGACAGATGCTCCAATCCCTTAAACATCACTGTGGCCCTTTGCTGGAGTCTTTCCAGTATGTCCCTGTCTTTCTTGTACTGGAAAGCCAAGTACTGTTTCTTGAACTGCTGTACTCTTGGAGATACTAGGTTAATGGAGAAAGAGGACCCAGCTTTTTTTTCTCAACAAGAGAATCAGTTGACACCAGAGAAGTCTGAAAAGGTGATGCTAAATTCATATGGATTAGCTCTGACTGAGCCTGATTTGTGTTCAAGTAACATCCTTCTGCATACTAGAGAGGTTGGGAAAGAGGGATATTGTTGTCTGTGATTCATATCTGATGGAGTAGATATGCCATCAGCTCCATCAGCTCCAATCTTCACCCTGCCTTTGGTGATTTATAGCTATGACAGCAATGAAACTTGACAGTCCGGGGACTCTGTCACCTACTTCTTCTGGCTATTTCCTCAGTCTTGTGTACTCATTTTTTTTTTTTCTTTTTTTTTTTTTTTGGTTTAACCTTTTGACCATTTGAGCAGAAACTGTATCAGACTGCTGCACTGTCCTGGTTTCAGCTAGGATAGGGTTAATTATCCTCCTAGTAGCTGGTAGGGTGCTATATTTTGGATTAGGATAAGAAGAGTGTTGATAACACCCTGATGTTTTAATTGTTGCAGAGCAGTGCTTACACCAAGCCAAGGACGTCTCAGCTTCTTGCTTTGTCCTGCCAGTGGGCAGGCTGGGGGTGCAGCAGAAGCTG